GCCCTCTTTCGTCCAGGTTGTAAAATGGTTGCTGTGGATTTCGTAGGAGAGAGGGTTAGGCTCCTTGCAACGCAGATGCAGGAAAGTTAGGAAAGGTAAGCGTTTAGTTTTGAGCACAGGTCATCAATTCCATTGCGGGATGCCAATATCGGGCAGTCGTCAGCGTACGAGATATGAAGACTCCCTCTGCTGGTTGATGGAGTTTTGAAATGTATAAAATGTTTAGTTTTCCTTGGGTTTAACGTTTATATATGAAAATAATATCGGCCGCTGTGGTGTAGTGGTAAGCAGTGCGCGCTTTCACTCCTCAGCACCTGGGTTCAAGCCCTGGTTAAAGCAACATCACAAAAAATATAGAAAAAGGTTTTTTCTTAACAGCGGTCGTCCCTCGGCAGGCAATGGCAAACCTCCGAGTGAATTTCTGCCATTCGGAATCGGGGTAAAACTGTAGGTCCCTCCGCCTTGTGTAACAACATCAAGGACGCACCCCACAAGTCGGAGGAGAAGCTCGGCGAAACACTAACATATGTGTAAGCGCCAATCTATTATTATTGTTATATGAAAATAATCGGTGAGAGGGGAGATGACGATGTCTTCTAGTAGTATGGAATGACATACGAGTCGAAGGCCTTCATTGCCTTACCTCCTCAGCAGCATCAAACAGTGCTCAGAAGTTTTAACCCCACCTCCCTATTTGTAAGAATTCATTATTGGTATTACAAAAACAACAGGTATACAAATTTTGATTAGAATTGTCTAGTTCACTATGAAATATTTTCCAGTTGGCAGTGCCTATTAATTTCCAAAAAGGGTTTTATTATCCCAAAACACAATGGTTTGGAAATTCACTAATGAGAACCAGCTAAGCAAATCAGCTGTTTGTGACACTTTAGTTTTCGTTTTCATAAGCGCGGTGTAAGTGAAAAAGTGCTCAATTCAAAAGTGTGTAGAGTGTAGACAAGAAGGTTATTAAAATAGAAATGCTTGAATATAATACAACATTCATACGTAAATATATTAAAGATAGTGGATATCAAAAAGGAGCGACATCACTCGCGACACTAGGTAAGCGGCCCTTTACTTGCATAACATATCACTTGTTGCCTAATCGCTGAATTATCTTTCAAATACTTATTTAACTTACCATTGTCAAGCGCCCTTTCGGTGGCAGCATATTTATAAGCTATGATTCCATGAATTTTCACTGTTTCGACATAGTCCAAAGGCATTGTGCAGCACAAGTTTTGCAAATACATTTCTACTGTGTCTTTTGGAGTAAGATTTGGGGGGAAAAATTCACCCATCGAACCTCTAATGCGACCACATTCACCCTCATAGACGCCATTGTGTGTTTTATGATTCCATTCGTAAATTTGACCCATTTTGCGTAGATCATCAGCGCCGGTATAGATATTAAAGTGGCCATCATAAACGGAGCTATCGTTGCGCTGCAAGAAAAATTGGACACAAGTATTTAGAGACTATTCGGAATTTTAGAGACTACTTCGGGATTTCATGGCTTCGGCATTTTAAAGACTTTCGGGGTTTCCGGGCCTATTTCAGAACTTTCGAGACTAAATCAGGATTTTCGGCGCTATTTTGTGCTTTTTGAGACTACGCCGGGATTTTTCTTATTTCTTCTTATTTTTAAGATTTTCGCGATTCACGGGAGCATAACGGGCTTTTCAAGGCTACTTCGGGATTCTCGGAATTTTTCCGAGATTTACGGGACTACTTTCATATTTTCAAGATTAATTTATCTGTTTGCTTCGTTGAGCAGAGATAAGATAAGGTAAGTTGGAGCGAGGTAGTTGAGGTGAGTTAAGGAGACTTGAGATGAGGTGAGTTGAGGGTGAGGTGAATTGAGCTGAGGTGAATTGTAGTTAGTTGAGTTGAAGTGAATTGAGATGGGCGAGTTAAAATGAGTTAAGAGGAGGTGAGTTGAGGTAGGTAGGTTTAGCGTCTGCTAATTACTGTAATTTTGTGTTGTTTTTTTTACTTTTATATCTATCAACTCCTAAATATCTATATTTTTCTTTTAATTGAGTATGTAGACATCTGCAAATACTGAGCCTAGTAGTATCCAAAATGGTACTTTAAATACAAAAGCACTTAAGTGTATGCCCAACACTGCTAGTAACTAAATAATAACCGTACTACTAATGTTTATTAGTTCATTTATCAGCCTTTATCCTATTAACAGTCAACAATTGAAAACACTTACCATGTACAGCCAGCCGATACGATCGAATGGCACCACCATATCTTTGACGAATTTCGATGCAAAACTGCCCATTGTTACTAACGGATCACGATAGCCCGTAAACATCCACTCGTCAGCGGTTTTGGTAACCGTTAAACCTTCCTTGTACATTTTTAAAACATTTGTTAATATACGCTTTTGGATATATGAGCCATTAACGGCTTTCAAAGCAGCACCCTAAAAACAAAAACAAAACAAGAAAACATAAATAAATTATTATTTTTTGGTTCTTACTCAAATATGTTGCTTGAATATTTTAAGTCATCTATGCTTACATGCGCCACTGTATTGACCGATGTTACCCGATCCGATAGTTTGCCATTACTGTTGGCTTCATCAAAATAAAATGCCGCATATTTGCGAAATGAAATAAGCTACGCTAGTCGCTGTAATACTTGTAATCTGCGTAAATTTCATGTGAACGTGATGTCAACGGTCAACTGGCAAGAAATTTGAATTGTATTTTTGCACGTACATACATATGTATGTAATAAAAATGAGAAAAAATAAATTTTATATTTGTAATTTTAGTTGAATTAGGTTTTCTAATAAAATTAAAATTTTGTTTAAGAATTAGCATTTCAAGATCAATTATGTTATGATTTCTGATCTGGCCCCGGCAAGACTTATCAGTAGGCAGACAAATTGTAAAAAAATAATAATTAAGCTTAGAGGTGTTGATAAGGCTTTTCGATTATAAATACTTGTGTACATATGTATCTATCCACCTATTAACGCATACATATCGTCACCAGACACGAATAAAGGCGCGAGCTTAAAAGTTGACGGTGAAAAAAGACGCATAAAAAAACTTCAGCTTCAAAGACTCTTAACATACTTCGCCGAAGTTTTTCAAAAGCATCTTTTTTCGCAAAATTTTTTTACGCGCCTTTTTTCGCCGTCAAAAGACTAGCGCGCCTTTATTCGTGTGTAGTGACGGTATTGATATAAA